TGAAGGAAATCAACCCTGAGTGCTCACTGGAAGGACAGATCCTGAAGCTGAGGCTCCAATACTTTGGCTATCTCATGAGAAGAGAAGCCTCCCTGGAAGAGACCCTGAAGTAAGGAAAGTGTGAAGGCAAGAGGAGAAGGGGACGATAGAGGACGAGATGGTTGGACAGGGTCACCGAAGCTACCAACATGAATTTGACCAAACTCTGTGAGGCAGTGGAAGAGAGGAGGGCCTGGTGTGCTCTGGTCCATGGGGTCACAAAGAATCGGACATGACTTAACGACTAAACAACAACAACGAACCAGAGAGTGGACTGGCTCAGCCATAGCATTAAGTTATAGTTTAGCATAGTTCAGTCATAGAGAAAGAGACTCCTCCATCCCAGGCTTGCATGCTTCAGAAGCTGCTTCTTTGGCATTTGGTGAACTGCAACTTGCTGTATTGTCTGGAGATAGACAAATCATAGTTGATCTTAGCTGTGGTTAATTATAGTTATGAACTTGGCTTTGTTTTCACTGATTATAAGTAAACCTAAATGCAATTTAAATGAAGCACTAGATTACAGTTAATGAAGAGAAGTTTACCAGTCTTCTCACAGTCTCTGGAGGAGGAGGAAGGAAGGCTCTGTGTGTGAACCCACTGAGAGGCTAGGTTCATTCTCATATTTCAAATGTTGCCAACTTCCCTTTTTACCCATGTGTGGTGTGGTGTGTGTGTATTTTCTTTCTCCCCCTTCTGGGATTTTTTTTTTGAAATTGTGGGAGATTTGTTTAGTTATGATATTTGATTTAGCTTTTATTGAAGTGTCTTTTTTTCAGATTGACTTTAATTGTAAATTAAATCTGTAAACTATTTTAAGTGATTTCAGCACAACAGTTTATATGAACACAGACTATAAAGCCAGCAAACCTGTGCATGTAGTTGAAGAAGCCTTTTTCAAATCTTTTGCATTCAGGATATTTTTGGTAATTGTGCATTTTGGTAAGATACTTTGCTAAAATATGTGGGCTCTCTGAGGATTTTATAGAAATTACTTTGGATTACTAAGCAGTTTGTCTCCCATTATTTCATTTGGCTTTTCTTTTCTTTCTGATACACATTTTGTGTTTATCACTGTCTGTCCTTCCCACCCACACCTTTCCTGCAGCACATGCTAGGAGAATACTGCAGCAGTCTAACAGAAATGCATGCATAGAAGCACCAGGTAATGCCTTAGCTGCTTAGCTTCTAAACTTACCTTGTTTTCCTAATCTCTTATCCTAAAATTTGTCTTTTCATATATTGCTTATTAAACTTACAAAACCTGCACTAATCAAAATTATTCTGCAAATTTAATATGTGAGATACTTTATTCTAGCTGTATATCTTGAATCAGGCAAGGTGCAGCAGAGTAAACCAATCGGTGTGGTCTGCTGTTTGCTGCCATGAGACTTTACCATGGGCATATAGCATCACATGGTTGCTTGTCAGGGAAATGCAAATGTGTAGCTGACATTACTAAGGCTGTTAATCTGTAACAGCTTTCTGAGTAGAGGAGTGTTGTGTTGTGAAAGAGAAATACAGGTTTAGGTGCGTTTTTGTTTACTGTATTTTTCTGTGTATAAAACGACACTTTTTCCTAAAATAATTAAAGGAAAAATTGAAGGTCGTTTTATACAGAGAAGTAAGGAGGGGGGAGGGATCAAAGCGCTTTGATCCCTGCTTTCCCCCTCTGTGTTTTGCAAAGAAAATGGAGGGGGAAAGTGATTCCTGCTTTCCCTCTACATTTTTGTTGCGGAAAGCAGCTTTCCCCCTCCGTGTTTTGCAACAAAAATGTAGGCAGAAAGGAGGAATTGCTTTCCCCCCCCTCCATTTTCTTTGCAAATCGTGGAGGGGGAAAGAACCTTTTTGCAAAGAAAGTTGAAGGGGAAAGCAGGAATTGCTTTTCCCCTCCACTTTCTTGCAAAGAAAGAAATTTTCGGTTAGATAAGTGGGGGGGGTGTCTTATACATGGGGGCATCTTATACACAGAAAAATATGGTATGTTGAAGCAGAAACTTGTCCAAGTGACATATCAGAGCCCAAAGATCTCTGAAAGTGTGACTCAGTGAGAACTGTCTTTAACAGTTGGGTAAAATAGAATGGTAGCATTCCACCCTATTTCTACTTTAAAAATTGTAACATATACATTTATATTACACCTTTTCTCTTAGCTCAGTAAAAACATGGTTCTCCTCCCAGCTTTTATAATCACAGTAGTACTGTGAGGTAGATTAGGCTGAGTAATTGGCCCAGGATCACCCAGTTACAGTGGTGCCCCGCTTAACAATTACCCCCTTTAACGATGAAATCGCTTCACCATGTGTTTTTTGCGATCGCAAAACGATGATTGAATGGGGAAAATCCACTTCACGATGATCGGTTCCCTGCTTCGGGAACTGATTTTTCACTTTACGACGATCAGAAAACAGCTGATGGTCAGGTTTCAAAATGGCCGCCCACTGTTCAAAATAGCTCCCCACTGTGCTTAGGACGGATTCCTCGCATTGCAGGCACCAGAAAATGGCTGCCCTATGGAGGATCTTTGCTGGACGCTGAGGTATTTTGCCCATTGGAACGCATTGAGCAGTTTTCAATGTGTTTCAGTGGGCTTTTTTCGCTTGACGACGATTTCGTTCTACAGCAATTTTGCTGGAACGGATTAACGTCATCAAGCGAGGCACTACTGTAGTGTCATGGCTCAGTATGGACTTGAACCTGGATTTTCCAAGTCCCAGTCCAGCACTCTAGCCACTGTACTAAATTGGGTCTCAAATGTATCAACATAGGAAAAAAAGTATGTGTGGTTACTTCAAATTAAAATGAAGTTTTAGAAATATAGATGTGTTCATACAGCTTCTCAAGAGATGAAGATGGTTTATAGTCTTAGAGACTAATAAATGTATTAAAGCATTCATAAACATTTGCCTACTACATCCCAGGTGAAACAAGTAAATGTATTAGGTCAAGATCTGAAGAATAGAGGTGAACAATTTGTGGATATTTGCAGGGGAGACTGGTTTTCTTTCTTTAAATTTTTTTTTAATGGCAAATACATTTTGGAAAAATTGAAATGAAATGTGTGTTTAGCAGCCGTTATATCTAGTTACTTTTGGTGACTTCAGGAAAATAAAATATTTGTTCATAAAATTATAGGCCAAAATTGTTTCGGGAATTTATGCTGGTGTAACTCAAACAGTGCAAGATTCAGAGGCAAATTGCCTCAAATCAGGAAGTCACCTTAGACATCATCTCTTGCATTCTAGGAGTGATATTGTAAATTGAGACATTTCACCTCCAGAAGTTAAATTGTTTGTTCTACATTTGCAGGCACTACTGACAGGAGTTTGGCTATGTTTACCATATTAAACTTAAAAGTGTATTCATCAAATTCAGCTTCAAGTGTTTTAAATATATACTGTATATCAAGCTATAACATTCTCTGAGGAATCTGAATTATTTTCCAGTTTGGAAAGCAGACAAAAACACCAGTGAAAAAATAAATTCATGAACCTCTAGATCAGATGTTCGTCACCTTCAATTAAGATGTTGTCACTCAATGAGAACTCTTTAACTGTGTAGTTCTTCGCTGTATTGATTGCTGAGGATGAGATACACTTTCTCTCTACCATCCCCAGTATTTCTAAAATCCTGCTAGTGTTTTTTGCAATGTTTTCTAGACATAATTTGTAAAACAATATACAGAAACTTGTCAGTTTATTTTAAGATCTGTAGAATAAGTGCACAGTTGGATTGCAACTGTTGCGTACAATATTCTCTGCAAAACCAGAGATTTTCTATGGGAATGAAACAGTATCTCCCTAGCAACAATGTGGAGGGGGGGTTCCCTCTAAAATACAGTAGGAACCCAGTGTCAACAGTTTCACTTCTCCACCGTCTGACAATATTAAAATAAAAAATACAGGAAAAAAATACAGTGGAAGCTCTACTTACGGAATTAATCCGTATTGGAACGGTGGCTGCAGGTCGAAAAATCTGTAGGTCGAGTCTCCATTGACCTACAATGCATTATAAACCGATTAATCCCGTAACCGGCTGTTTTTGTTCCATTTTTGTTCCATTTTGGGTTTTTTTCTGGTCTGTAGGTTGATTCTCTGGCTGCAAGTCGAACCTAAATTTTGCGGCCAGAGAAGTTTGTAACTCGAAAAGTCTGTAAGTCGAGCTGCCTGTAAGTCGAGGGTCCACTGTATATCTATTTTCACTTGTATTACCAGAGCCAGCCACTTGAGGGAGCCAGAAACGGTACCATGAGTACTTGTTGAGAGGAATACATAGCATGTCTCTGGTGCCCTCTAGTGGCCAGTTCTGTAATGCATGTGAAAATATTTTTTCTTGTTTTTTCCCCTTTTACCATGCTATATATACAATGTTTGCTATTATCCACAGTTTTCAGTATCTGCAGGGGCTTGATACCAGGCCTAGTGGATATGGGCATCCTAATGTAGTGCTCCCTGAAGCATGAGGAGCAGCTAAGAAAATATAGTATCATTATCCTTTTTGTGTATGAGTGGAAATGCTTCCGACCAGTTTATGAGAAGGGAGGTGGGTTGGATGTAACCCGTGTTCTTTTCAAAGCTTGCATGTTAGGGTAGGAAAGAAATAACTGGAAAGAGCAATGCTGGTAGTTAATAATTTCTTTGTCTTGTCTACAGAAACAGGTAGTGATCTTTCTATGTTTGAAGCTTTGAGAGACACCATTTATTCTGAAGTAGCTACTTTGATATCTCAAAATGAATCTCGCCCTCATTTTTTAATTGAGCTTTTTCATGAGCTCCAGATGCTAAATACGGACTACTTAAGGCAAAGAGCATTGTATGCTTTACAGGTACTTAGAAAATAATGATTCCTCATTTTTTAAATTGGGCTTTTCTCGACAATCTAACCTTAACAAACCTGTTTTGCTTATATAGGATATAGTGACCAAGCATGCTTCTGAGGACACTGCAAAAGGAGAATGTCCAAAACAACTGAGTTCTACAGGATGGGTAGGATCAAATTCAGAACTAACTCCCAGTGAAAGCCTTGCCACTACTGATGATGTAAGACTCTTGAAAAGTTTGTTTTGGGGCACTGGAATGTAACATTACACTTAAGAAAAACTTCTACAATTTAGCATAAAAATCCAGTAATTGTAAAGCTGATAATATCTAAAAGTTGCACTAAACGTTATGGGAAAGAACTTATTACAAAATAATATCAGATGAGATTTACAGACCAGTTGTATCAATCTCACTTAAGACGAATAGCATATACAGTAAATGCATATTGTATCTTGTGTCCCTTACTTAGGGCATTTCTTTTAAACAGACCTGTTTTTATTCTGTATTGACTAGAAAGACAGCCATTTTAAGGTCATAGCCCTGTGTAAGTCTCATGAGATGAGCTCAAGAGCCTAAATCGGATTTTTAGATCCACTGAATTAGTGGGAACCTGATAAATTAGCATTCCTCTGAGTTCCATTGACTCAGTGGATGAGTTCTGTTTGAAACTAAAAATATATTAAGTTTCTAGAGCTCATAATATGAGTTACATAAAGTCATGGCAAAAAATATTGGCATCCTTGCAATTTTGTCAGAAAATGCAACCCTCCTCTCAGAAAATCATTGCAGTTGCAAATGTTTTGGTACTGACATGTTCATTTCTTTGGTTTGCATTGGAACAACACAAAAATAGAAGAAAAGTCAAATCTGATACAATCCCACACAGAAACCCAAAAATGCCCTAGTCAAAATTATTGCCACCCTCTCTAAATTGTAACAAATAATTACTTTTCAAGCATGTGATGCTCCTTTAATTTGTATTTAGACATACCAGTCACAAGTAAGAGGTGTGGGCAGTATAGTAATCACACTTGCAACCAGTTAAGATGGAGAAAGGTTGACTCAACCTTTGTGTTGTGTGTGACACTGAGCATGGATAAAAAAATGAAATATAAAGAGTTGTCTGTTGATTTGAGAGAAATAAAATTGTGGGAAAATATTGACAGTCTCAAGGCTATAAGTCCATCTCCAGAGTTCTTAATGTTCTTGTGTCCACTGTGCGCAATATCATCAAGAGGTATACAGCCCATGGCACTGTAGCTAACCTCCCTGGACATGGACGGAAGAGCAAAATTACTGAAAAATTACAATGAAGGGTTGTTTGAATGGTGGATATAGAACTCAGATTAGCTTCCAAACAAATTCAAGCTGATCTGCAGACATGGGGTACCACAGTGTCGGCCTGCGGTATCCCTCGCCATCTGAATGAAAAGGGACACTATGGTAGGAGACCCAGGAGGACACCACTGCTGACACAAAGGCATAAAAAAGCAACAGTGGAGTATGCCAAAACCTATGTGACAAAACCACAGTCCTTCTGGGAGAACATACTGTGGACAGATGAGACGAAAGTAGAGCATTTTGGTCAAGGACGTCATGGCACTGTTTACAGAAAAAGGAATGAGGCATTCCAAGGAAAGAACATAGTCTCTACAGTAAAACATGGTGGAGGTTTGAACATGTTTTGGGGTTGTTTTGCTGCTTCTGGCACTGGATGCCTTGACTGTGTGAACGGTATCATGAAATTTGATGGTTACCAAAGAATTTTGGGGCGCAACGTAGTGGCCAGTGTCAGAAAGCTGTGACCCCACCAGAGGTCATGGTTCTTCCAGCAGGGCAATGACCTGAAACACACTTCAAAAAGCACTCAGAAATGGTTACAAAGTGCTGGAGAGTTCTGAAATGGCCAGCAATGAGCCCAGATCTGAATCCCATAGAACACCTGTGGAGAGATCTCAAAACAGCAGTTGGGAGAAGTCATCCTTCAAATCTGAAGGCCCTGGAGCAGTTTGCAAAAGAACAGTGGTCCCAAATTCCAGTAAAGAGGTGTAAGAAACTCATTCATGGTTACTTACAGGAAGCAATTGATTTCAGTTATTTTTTTCCAAAGGGAGTGTTACCAAATATTAAGTTAAATATGCCAATAATTTTGGCCATTTTTGTTTTTTTTTTAAATTGTTCCAACGCAAACCAAAGAAATGAAACAGGAAGCAATTGATTTCAGTTATTTTTTTCCAAAGGGAGTGTTACCAAATATTAAGTTAAATGTGCCAATAATTTTGGCCATTTTTTTTTATTGTTCCAACGCAAACCAAAGAAATGAACATGTGAGTACCAAAACGTTTACAACTGCAACAATTTTCTGAGAGAAGGGTTGCATTTTCTGACAGAATTGCAAAGGTGCCAATATTTTTGGCCATGACTCTATGTTAAATTCCACAATAGCATATGGTATGGTTTGAGTGTACCTACTTGGTTCTTTTAGAAAGTAAGAAATTGCTTCCTAAAGGTCTACAGGCTCTTGGCAGAAATCCAGTGAACTTCCTGAAAGAGAAGTCCTTGTAATCTAATTTTCCAGAAAGAGTCCATTGTAATCTAATCTCCCAGTCCTTCCTAGCAAAGCTTGTACCTATAATGAATGGAAGGGACTAAGGAATTAAGTTTGGCTATAGGTATTTTGAGATGATCTGAAGTCCTAATAGACTTCAGTAATTTATGAGAACATGAGAGAATTTGAGGATATCTGGAGGTTTGTGGCGAAACATGCACCAATTGAAATTTAATTTTTTAATTTGATCAATTTATGTATTGCCCCATTAGTGCACACACCACTCTAAGGGGGTTATAAATTAACAGTTACATTTTAGAATTTATTTTATCCTGACATTTATTTTATTTTCCCAAATTTACTGCATGTTTTAAGGAGACATTTGAGAAGAACTTGGACCAAGGAGCTTGTAGGGAGTGTGATCAAAATGACAACGGCAGCACTATGTCTACTTCCTCAAATTTTGAACCTTTTGCTACAGATGATCTTGGTAAGCATAGAGATAGTACCAGCAGTCAGAGCTGTTTTCTGACAGCTTGTGCTTCATGGTTGCATTTGTTCTACTTATCAATAATAATGCTCTTTCTTCTTGCAGTTTGTCTATTTAATCTGCACATACTAATATTTGATTTTCAAAATGTAAAATCTGTATTAAAAGGTGTTTTTTTTTTGCCTTAAATACAGGCAATACTGTGATTCATTTAGATCAGGCACTGGCTCGGATGAGGGAGTATGAACGGATGAAAATGACAGCTGAAAGTAACCTGGATTCTAAGAATGGTTGCTGTAGTAATACCCAGAGTGCTCCTGATTCTAACTTGGAAGGTATATAATTATTTATCTGTTACAATTATACCTCTCTCAGTATATGAAAAGAGTATTCAGATCCTCACCAGGCAGTCTTCCATGCACATGCTGGCCTGGCCTACCTTTGTGAATATTTTTCTCTGGGCATATTAGTATTTGAAATTGTTTCTAAGCAGTTCATACACTTGAAATATTTCACTCTGTATCCTTGAAGATGTTTAACTGTTAAAATTAGTTTCTTTGTATAACCAAATAACCAGACATTGTTACCCATATTGAAATGGCAGCTTTATAATAAGAGGATTGATTTCAGCATGTGTTTTATCTCCAAAGATCTAGATGCAGTTGGAGGCCATTGTGCATCACAGGCTACTGAAGTGCCTGCTGTTCCTTGCCCACGAATAGATACACAGCAGCTTGACCGGCAAATTAAAGCTATTATGAAAGAGGTTATTCCATTCTTGAAGGTAATACAAATTCCCATTTCAGTAAAAACAAATGGGAAAAGTAAGTCACCTGTTCTTATGAGAAACTAGTTTGTCTTGATCCATAGATCTGTTCTTGTGTTGTTGCCTTCAAAAGACAGTCTCTCTAGTACACATTGTTATTTTAGCCACTGTTTCCGTCTTTTTGGTGGTCGATCAGTATAAAACCTTTTATATGCACCAGTATTACTGATCTGATCTCTTACTGTCCATGGCCTAGAAGCTGTTTCTATGCTCTTTTTAAGAAAATGAAATGGAAATGTAAAATCAGCAGACTCATTACTTATATACAAAGTGTAGTATATGTTGTGAATAAAAGCAGTACATGATCAGTGTACAGTGAGTATAAGAATAATAATCTTCTAACTTTTAGGAGCACATGGATGAAGTATGTTCTACTCAGTTGTTGACTTCAGTAAGGCGCATGGTCTTAACCCTTACTCAACAAAATGATGAAAGCAAAGAATTTGTGAAAATATTTCATAAGCAACTTGGTAGCATATTGCAGGTTAGTATATGATTGATATGCTGCTCTTGTTTGGCCTCATTTTCACAGTCACTGTGGTTATGATACCAGATCTGAGTGAGTCTAGGGCTAAACAAGGTGAAATCTTAACACCACTCTTTCATATACATCTCTTTTTGTCTACACTATTCCTCCTGTATTACTTCATGTAATAATATGCAAACCACAAGGGATTAAGATCTAGCTTATCCCTTTCCTCTTTCCCCTCCTCCTTTCGTTCTGTAAATGTCTTATTTGTTAAAGAGAGTGTAGTCTTGAAAGCTTGCAAAAAACTTGGTTTTGCACACATTTTTATGTCTTTTAGTTGGGCTCAGAAAGGTACCACTTTAATGTGGGTTCTGGAATTTATTTCATCTTGTCATTTTGATAAAAGTTTTTGTCCATTAGTGAGAATTCCATCAGTGAATCAGTTTGTACAGAAGCTGAGCTACCAAATGGAAGCAGAGCTAAACCCCTGTTAGCATTGAAAATGAATATCCACGTGGCTAAACCTGAAGGGCTTGAACATTACAGTTATAATGTCCTGAAAGTAGATGTTGCAAATGGCACACTTGGAAACGATTCACTAACCATTTTCATTGTATTTTAAAGCCAATATATTTTAAATGTTATTGAAGATAAATGGTCATCTTTTGTCATTGATAGTGTTGGACTTCAACTGGGGTTCAAATCTTGTTTGCCCATGAAACTCACTATATGACACCTTATTGGCATGTAATTCCATCAGTGAATTGGTTGTGAGTTAAAAATTGTGTAACTCCATATATGCCAGCCTGAAATTGTTACGGGGATGGTGACACATCATGTAATAAAGAAACTAAATGTGCTTTCCTTTTTTCCCTTTTTTTCTTTTTGGACAGGATTCACTGGCAAAATTTGGGGGTAAGAAATTAAAGGATTGTGGGGAAGACCTTCTTGTGGAGATTTCTGAAGTCTTATTCAATGAATTAGCCTTCTTTAAACTCATGCAAGACTTGGACAACAGTAGCCTTACTGTAAAGCAAAGATGTAAAAGAAAAAATGAAGCAGAGGGAATGATACAGTCTTATGCCAAAGAGGTTAATATCATGCTTTAAAGAAATTGACTAAAACAGGTTTTCTGTACTTTTTAAAAGCCTTTTCCTGTATTTGGCAATTCTCTTGTCTAATATAGTGGAATCTGTAAATATAAAAAATCAGACATGTAACCTCTATTTCATTTTCCTTTGTAAGGAATGTTTTCAAGCAATACTTCCAAGACAGTGGTCCCCAACCTTTTTCATTGGCTGGGGAAGGTGGGGCACCCCTCACGCTCGTGCATATGCACGAAGGAGCGGGAGGGCACTTGTGCAGGCAGGCGAGCTTGTGCGCATGTGTGAAGGAGTGGGAGGGTGCTTGTGTGGGCGCACGGTTGTGCGTATGCCTGGAGGGCGGCTCATGCACTTGCGTAAAGGGGTAGGGGGAGTGCTCGCGTGAGTGCAGGCACAGAGGGGCCATGCGAGGGGAGTGCATGCGGGGGGAGGGGCGGTTTCCACGGCCTGGTCTGGCTCAGGCCATGGACTGGCACTGGACTGCGGACCGGGGGTTGGGGATCTCTTGTTTAAGAGATTATGTACAACTTTTTGAAACTTACCAAAAACAACACAAAATAAAAGCAAAAACAAAAATTAAAAAAGACAAAAATGATGTGCCACCTTAAAGAATAACTGCTATACCCTTCTCCTTGAACTGCATAGAGCTTTGGTTATACCCTCCATAAATAAATAAATACATACATACATAGATAGATAGATACTTACCTACCTATATACCTACATACTGTGCTGCTATTTGTCTCCAGGAAGTGGCCTGAGAAAGGTGGGCCTCGGGCTTGCCTTGTGCCCTGTTGTTGGCAGTGCAGTGGCCCATTGGTCAGATGGTGGCAGCCTGGGCAGCTCACTCTTCTGTCATGGCTGCCAGGGAGGGTGCTGGCGTGCACTGGGAAGCTGATGCAGATTGGGGCAGGTGTGTGTGAACCAACTGTTTACGCTTTGTAAAGTTGGGGGCATAAAAGAAGTCCCATGGATATCCAGCAAAGATCTTCCTCCTCGTACTTGTTGCTGTCCATATGAAGGAGGAGGATGAAACCGAGGGTAGAGAGCAAGACTAGAATCCTTCCCTGTACCCATAGTGAGTACTTGGAAGTACATAATACATGAAAAACACTAAATATGATTGTGGATACTGTTTTAAGAACTTGATTTCCCCACCATAAAAATTCCTGTTCCTATCTTACCTTATTTTGAAACTCACTTTAAAATCTGAATGCACTTCAAGATTACTTTATGCTGAATGCTCAGGAAACAATGATAAAGAATTCATTTATTTACCTTGGACATTGTTGAAGTAGTACTTCATGAATGATACGATTTATTTTCAGCTTTCATCTAACAAGTTATATTTAGTGACAAAATAATAATAATAACAGTGTACCATCAAGTAAATTCTGACTTATGGCAACCCTTTTCAGGGTTTTCTTGGTAGAGAGTACTCAGAAGCAGTCTACCATGTCCTTCTCCTGGGGGCATCCTTGGACTGCAGCTTTCCCAAGGACACACAGGCTGCACATTTGGAAATGCACAATGCGTAATTGAACTCCCAGCCTCTGGCTCTGCAGCCAGAGGGATGGTAAAATGGAAGCATTTATGTGAACTGTTCAGAGCATTACAAAAAAACAGGAACAATATTGCTAAGCAGAATCAATTGAATAATTGGGACCAAGGGAAAATAATACAACAGTGAGTTCATGTCTAGTAGAACTGTTTCTTGGGCTCAGAATTAAGTCATGCAGAAAAGGGGTGTGGGAAGGAAGAAACTGTTTTTTGTAAAGGACAGGATACAATACCTGTCTACATATGTTATAGTCTTAAAATAATTTTAGGATATGTTTTGCACAGTCAATAGATGTAATTTGTTCCAGTGTAGAACGTGACTGATTTTACCAAAGATAGTTGGTCAAAGAAGCAATAGCCAATTTTTCATTACTAGTAATCAAGTTAATGTCAGATTAATCCCCATTTCAATGAGTTACTGATCGGTTGCTTGGTTTGAACAAAAAGACAGCAATATTCAATTTTCTGCTTTCTAGGCAAAAAGGGCACTTGAAGAAAGAGTTTGTTCATCTACTGAAGATATTGATGAAGACAAAGTAAGACTGTGGGAAAATATGGATGTGTATTTAACAGACCTGCAAATAATGGTTATTTAAAATTAAATTCCTATGAACACAATATTTGCTAAGAAAAGATTCTTTCTAAAACCAAGTAAATGTTCAGTCCATACCTTTGTGCCTGTAACTACCGTATTTTTCGCTCCATAAGACGCACAGACTTTCCACACCCCTGTTCTGTGGGAAAAAAGTGAGTCTTATGGTGCAAAAAATACAGTAAATACAATTGATTTCAAGTGAGAGGAAATTACTTCATTCATGTCATACTTCTGAAATTCTCCTCTTATTGGCCACTGTGGGAGCAGAACAACGGACTAGATAGGCATTTGACCTGATACTCCAGGGCTCCTAATATGTTATAGTGTTATTGTCTTCTCTTAAACTATGTGTCAAATGGATGTTGATAAAAAACTATCAGTATTAATTACCGTATTTTTCGCTCCATAAGACGCACCTTTCCATAAGACGCACCAATTTTTTAGGAGAAGAAAACAGGAAAATATAATCTGTTTTCTTCATAAGACGCACAGACTTTCCATCCCCCTGTTTTGTGGGGGAAAAGTGCGTCTTATGGTGCAAAAAATATGGTAGAAATTCCTATTCATATACTAGGTGTTCCTACAGATAATAATATCAGCAAATCGTTAATGACCATATTATTTCTCTGCAATGTAGGCAGTGTGAATTAATAACAGTAAATTAAATATTCTATATTTATTATTGATAAATGAGTATTGATTATATTATTGATGTCTAGGTGTTCTAATTTAGCTGAAGTTCAAACTGAGTATTTTATAGTTTTTCTGCTATAAGTGTGTATAATTTTAATACTGTATTGTACTGCAATGACTTGCATGTACCTTTGATACGAAGTGTTATAAAATCTAGAGGTGTGATGTAAAGTGACAGTCAAGATATTAACGCTATTCAGCCATCCTATTTAACTGGTGTATAGGTTTTATATGTATCCTACCATTTTGATGTAACAATTTTGTATATTTTTTAATATTGTAGTGCAATTATCTTTGGATTAAGCAGTAAATTGATTGATTACTCACATTGAGATCTACTATACATAAATCTAGATGTTAGAATATTGTGATTTCATATAGCATTATATTTTTTTGTGTAGGATAAAGATGAAACAGAAACTATCAAGCAGGATCATGAATCTGCAGCATACAACAGCAAAGAAGTTCCAAAAAGCTTAAGATCAGATGCTTCTGACCAAGAAGAAGAGAGTGAAAGTTGCCCAGTCTCTATAAGTAAGCAGTCACTTTGATTGGAGTTTCACACAAAAAGTTTCTGTTAAAGCTTTACATATTTTTACTCGGGACAGAGATTTAAACCTGAGGTTAAAGTAGCTGCTGGATATCTTAGTGGTTTAGAGACCTGGCTGTCGAGCCAGAGGTTGGGAGTTTGATTCCCCACTATGCTTCCTTGATGGGCTGGATTCAATGATGCATAGGGTCTCTTCCAGCTCTGCAGTTCTAAGAAGATGCTGTTAATGAAATAATTCTGTGAAGTCACTATTTCCATATACAGTGGTGCTCCGCTTAATGATTACCCCGCTTGACGACGAATCCGCTTCACAACAGTGTTTTTGCGATCACTATTGCGATCACAAAACAATGTTTTAATGGGCAAAATCTGCTTTACGATGATCGGTTCCCTTTACGACGATCAGGAACCGATTCTTTGCATTACGACGATCAAAATAGCTGATCGTCAGGTTTTCAAAATGGTCACTGGCTGTTCAAAATGGCTGCCCGCTGTGTTCAGGATGGATATTTCGCTGCACAGGCATCGGAAAATGGCCGCCCTATGGAGGATCTTCGCTGGACGCTGAGGTATTTCACCCATTGGAACGCACTGAACCGGTTTTCAATGCATTTCAATGGGCTATTTTATTTCGCTTGACGAGGATTTCGCTCTACAGCGATTTCGCTGGAATGGATTATCCTCATCAAGTGAGGCACCACTGTACAAATGTTTGCATTTCTTCTCTCCAATTTTTTATTGTATTGGTTTGTTTCCTATAAAAGATAAAACAGGCTGCTATAAAGATTTCAGAGTAGCCTTCGGTTAAAGATAAAAGGAATTCCTATGTGAGGGTTCGAGTCCTGGCTCCCCTTTTTCTTGAAATAAACTGACTGACTTCTTGGATTTAGAAATCGGAGTCACATTTTTTGGGTTATTCAACAAACAACCTATGTCTACAAGGTATTCCAACCATTGTTTCCCTCTAACAGTGGGTTAGGAGGGGGTTTCCAATCTTCAACTTTGAAGGGATTTGTTTGAAGGTATTCCAGGGCCCCGGCCAGTCCAGTGTACAGTCCACATTTGATAATCATTCATGCTCCCCTTCCAATAAGGGTACTGTTTCTTCGTCCCGGTCATCTGTCCATACCAGTTCACGAGGAGAGGCATCCTCCAGCCAAAGTCTCCCGAAGGACTCCTCTGCTGCTGCAGCATCATCATCCATTCTAGTCTCTCCCTCCTTTCTCTCTCCACCTTTTCCTCCCTCAACTTCTTCCTCCACTCCTTCGTCTCCTGTTCTCCCCAATAAGAGGGTTTGGGTGTACATTCAGTCCTTCTCCGAGCATCAGCCTCCTCTCTTGGGACCTTTAGTTTCTCTACCTTGCCAGTCCAAGGATCCTCCAGTCATATCCACTCCCACTCTCTTGGCAAACTGTCTTCCCCCCTCCTTATATCTCCTAACCCCACCTCCACTCCTACCTGGGATTGTCGTTCTCTTACCGCCAAGATCTTCCCGCCTTCTCCAACAAACATTCCCCTAAGTTTCTCCTCCCCACTCCCTGAGCTTTGCTGTGGTGGTCTATTCTTCTTGGGAGGGGGAATGGGTAGTGTTTGCACCTCCTTGTCAGCAGAGAGTGGGAGGGACGGCGCTCCTGTGAGAGGAGCTTTGCTCTCACCACCAGCCTCACATCCTGTTTTTATAACTGGCAATTATTTCATTTTTTATGGTTACATGCTCAGTCTTTAATCTTCGACATATTTGCCTCGTAGTTGTCGTTTAGTCGTTAAGTAGTGTCCGACTCTTCGTGACCCCATGGACCAAAGCACTCCAGGCCTTCCTACCTTCCACTGCCTCCCAGAATTTGGTCAAATTCATGTTGGTAGCTTTGATGACACTGTCCAACCATCTCATCCTCTGTCGTTCCCTTCTCCTCTTGCCTTCACACTTTCCCAACATCAGGGTCTTTTCCAGGGAGTCTTCTCTTCTCATGAGATGGCCAGCGTATTGAAGCCTCAGCTTCAGGATCTGTCCTTCCAGTGAGCACTCAGGGTTGATTTCCTTCAGAATGAATAGCTTTGCTCTCCTTGCAGTCCAGGGGACTCCCAGCACCACAATTCAAAAGCATCTGTTTTTCGGCATTCAGCCTTCTTTATGGTCCAGCTTTCACTTCCATACATCTGTACTGGAAAAGCCATAGCTTGACTATGGGGACCTTTGTCGGCAAGGTGATGTCTCTGCTTTTTAAGATGCTCTCTAGGTTTGTCATCATTTTCCTCCCAAGAAGGAGGAGTCCTTTAATTTGGTGGCTACTGTCACCATTTGCAGTGATCATGGAGCCCAAGAAAGTAAAATCTGTCATTGCCTCCATATCTTCCCCTTCTATTTGGCAGGAGGTGATGGGACCAGTGGCCATGATCTTAGTTTTTTTGCTATTGAGCTTCAGACCATTTTTGTGCTCTCCTCTTTTACCCTCATTAAGATGTTCTTTAATTCCTCTTCACTTTCTGCCATCAGAGTGGTATCATCTGCATATTTGAGGTTGTTGATATTTCTTCCGGCAATCTTAATTCTGGTTGGGATTCCTCCAGTCCAGCCTTTTACATGATGTATTCTGCGTATGTTAAAAAAGCAGGGAGACAATATACAGCCTTGTTGTACTCCTTTCCCAATTTTGAACCAATC